TATATATAAATTAAGCACACTGGACTTTTTTCAGCCATAAATAGGATTGGAGTTCTGATATACTACAATACAGATAAACCTTGAAAGCCTTATGCTATGTGAAGTAATCCCAAGACAAAACATCAAATATTATATGCTTACACTTATATGGTGACCCATTGTAACAGAGCAGAACTGCTGCAGGGGATCTGTAACCATCAAGGAATCAATTCACCAGGCCTAATTTTCATGTAACTGGGTGGGTTCAAACTGCCAGCCTTCCAGTTAGCAGTCACAGGTAAACCATTTGAACAACTTAGGGGCCTATGAAACACCCAGAATAAGAAATTATTTGATGCACAAAGTATAGCAGAGTGTACTTACTTGGTATCACCTTTTAGAAAAAAATTATACTTCAAAGGACTTTTTGTGCTAATAATTAAACTACCTTAATCCAGCATCCCCAAAAAAGCTTAATTCTAGGTATCCATATAATAATACTGTTTTATATCTTCTAAGAACCTAATTTAGTTTGGCTTTTTGTCCTAAGAATCCTCAATTCTATCCAGTGTGTTACAAACTTGATGAGAAAAAAATTATTTGGAAAAAAATTAGTGTATATGTCCTCCTATTTATACTATTTAATTTAAATTTTATTAAAATAATGTTCAAGGAACTATATTATCATAACCAGTTTACAAATCATGGTTATGGATTATAAAGTGGAACTATAAGGGCTGTATGTACATGTCTGCCTCTCTGCATTTACGTCATGATGGACTGTGCTTCCAGGCAGCCGTGAAAACTGTGGGGAATATTTCACACTCTTACGCACAAGCACTCACACACACCTCCCATTCTATACTTGCTGCATTCACCTGTGATCAGGTAGGACAGACACACAAGATACCTACACAGTCTTGGCAAAGGAAACGCTATTGTTATTTCTAGAAAACAAATAGTAAATAATAATAGCAAAATTCTAAAGGAACATGTTTACCCTTCTTAACATTACCCATGTCCTGGGCAATAGTGTCATGGTTCAGGTTCGTCCGATGTTGTCTCACATCGCCACTGCTTTTAGCTACTACCGTCCTTCTGGGAGGAAACCATCTAGCATGGCTCCCACTTCAGCTGCCACTGGGCCTCATTAGCTGGGCGGACTAGCTGTCTGCACTAGTCGTACTACCTGGCCTGTGGTTCTAACTTGTGACCATACATTCCAGACTGCTGCCCTAAGGCATACAGCCCATGCCTGGGGCACACTTGGCCTGTCTTCTTCTGCATAAGCAAGTGGTACAAATTTTAGCTTTGCGGTCAGCTCTCATATCCAGAGGCATATGGCTGTCCTTGATATAGGAAGATCCCTGCACAGGATCCTCAGAGGACTCCTGCATGAAACACACCCAGGCCTCTCTCCTGCACTGGCTTGTGTGACAGCTCTATTAGCTCAATCAAGAGGTCTCCTGTCCCAAAGCACTCAGCTCTCATTTAGTGGGTCAGGAAACCCTTAGCAACTGTCTCTCATTCC